ATAATATAAAATAAAGTTTTCAGCGAACATGCACAAATGGGCGAATAAGAAGACGTCAAAAAGTATATTAATGAAATTTAATGCTCATAATAGTATCTAAGGTTTTGACTGTTTTTATTCAAATAACCTTGTACGATTACTATAATCATACTGTCTATGTGAATATAGGCCTATTTTGTACAACGAATTATAATACTACTACTACTACTTGTAGTAATACAATTATGTTAATAATATACCAACCGGATCTATGGATGTCAGCCACTGAATGAATTCATCTAGAGCATCTGCTCCTCCTTTCTCTAAAATGTTTTGTATGTAATCCACCAGTTTGTTTACGTATGACTCAAAAATTGAGCTGAACGTTTTCTTCAGAAATTCTTTAATTTTATCAACTGACTTCCTTAATATTTTCATAATTGTGGGACGTGTAAGACGACTCAAACCACCTGAAAGTAATTCATTTTAACGTTACTTAAAAAACAAATATTAATGTATTATTAGGCTTTATTCATAAGAGAATACTCGGTAGTTCCTTTAAAATGTACATCATTTGACAATGGAAACAACCAAACTTGTTATCTAATTCTAGAGGCAATTAAAGGAGCAAAATTTGGTCCGCTCGAGTCAGCCTGGCTTAACCAAATGACTCAACAACTCAGTCGAACGATCCGCTCGAGTTGGCTCTGTCAGTTGCGACCGAAAACTATATAAATAACGTTCTAAAATCTACATTCTACTTCTGATGAACACCAAACTCGAGGAGAACCAAGACACACGTATAGTCAATGTGTAAAAGTTTGAGGTTAATCGGTCCATTAGTTTTTGAGTTATGTTCCCGAAAGACCAACACATCACAGACAGTCACACACACACACACACACACCCACACACACACACACAGTCACACACACACCGACACCCACCCAGTGGGAGCACACTGCAATACCATCTTCTACCCTTTGGGGGGGGGGCGAGGGTAACAAAGACAATAAAACAGAAGTGTGTTTGATTAATACAATGATTATAAAGCAATTAAAACATTTTGAAACAAGCAGCTTTTGTACATTCAAGCAGGCATAGGGTAATTGTAATTAGTAATTGTAATCAATTGCAATCATTACATTTTTAATGTAATTGAGTGTAATTTGTAATTTGTTTCAAAATGTAATTTGTAATTGTAATGTAATGGTAATGTAATTGTAATTTGAAAAATTTAATTTGTAATCATGGCAATTACATTTGATTATAAACTATTAGTGTTTATAAAAATCTCAAATTGACATCCACTGGATGGCAGAACACTCATCCACTTTACTGCTTATTCAGAAATAACTGTTGTTGTCAACAGTTTATCCAACTGTAAGCTATTCTTTATGGTTGTTATTTCACTTAACATAAACCAAGGAGTTGTTGATTTGCTTTGATACACTACTTACATAATGCATACCGGTAGTTACCAACCTGAGAGATTTGAAATGCGTGACTACAACATCTAGATGTGTATAAGAGACAGGGCTCCGGGTTTCCAGGGGCGGAACCCCGTTTCCAGTCACATCAGCGGTTGGTTGTGACAATGAACGCACAAGACCGCACGCGACTTGATTCGTTTTGGTGGGGAAAGAGCAATTTTCCTGCTGAATTGATTCTCGAGACGAGATAACGAAAGCTCTCTATTGACTCAAGCTACTGCATGACCTTCTTTATATATTTAATAAAACCAATTTCTTCTAATTTTAAATACATTTCCCCTGAATTCGTTATCACACATAGACTTTCGCTAAATGCGTGACAAATTTATACTTCATCCAAAATCACTTTGAAATGCCGGACCGTCCCGCACGCTGCGAGACGTTTGGTAACTAGGTATATAAGTTCCCCGCTGAATTTTACAGAGAATTCTATGATTATTTTAAGGTAGATCTCAAGTTTACAGTATCAAGCTACTGCATGACCTTCTTTATATATTTAATAAAACCAATTTCTTCTAATTTTAATTACATTCCCCCTGAATTCGTTATCACACATAGACTTTCGCTAAATGCGTGACAAATTTATACTTCATCCAAAATCACTTTGAAATGCCGGACCGTCCCGCACGCTGCGAGACGTTTGGTAACTAGGTATATAAGTTCCCCGCTGAATTTTACAGAGAATTCTATGATTATTTTAAGGTAGATCTCAAGTTTACAGTAGGACCTATCCCATATAAGCCACATACTCAACCCACAAAAACTAGAATTTCAGTGTTTACAAATAATTGCACTTGGTTATTAAAGTTGTATTGTCTAAATACCAAAACAAATAAAAAAAATATTTTTTGAAATTAAATTGCCAATTTTGAAGCAACATTAAAGTTTTCAACTTGAACATAGTAATTAGTGTATTTAAAAATTATCTACCCATCAGTTTACAGCGAAAAATGATAGAAACACTTCCAGTCACTGCAAGTGTTTTATTATTTTATTATAATTTTTTGGTTTAAAAATCAGGGTACAAATTTTTTAAATTCAATAATTTGTATGCACAAGTTAATAATTTGTATGCTATTGCAATATGAGCAAGTTTATTTCAAAATTATTTCTTATGATTTTTTGACATTAGCAAGGGACAATACATCTTTAATGAGTAGTCTATTTATCTATAAACCAAACTTAGAATATCATGGGATAATAATTAACATGGAGTGGGAGCTTAGTGGTTAACGTTTCTGTCAACTAAATAGAAACTAAATTCCCTGGGAGTTACTTTCTGTTGGATGTGAATTAAACATAAAAAAAAAACACATGGGTAGATGATTTTAAATGTATATTGAAAGTATGTTTTGTGTACGGTATAGACCGAAGTAGTCCCCAAAGATGACGTCATCAAAATTTATTTATTTTATTTATTTACACTCTCATTCCACAGCGGGAAACCCGCCACTTACAGAGTGGATTAAAATATTAAACATTAAAATATGGCAATATGATTAATATAATAATAATAATAATAATAAAAATTTGGCCGGCCGATTGGGTATTAAAAGTTGTTTACATCGTTAGGTTCTATACTATTGCATTGAGTGGAATCGAAAGTGGTGTCTATTAAATTGTCTAAAATGTAATGAAGTTAGCGTAGAAAATACTTTTTTTATAACAATTTATACATTTTGAATGATTGATAGATTCATGATTTGATTTAAATTTCCATTGAGACTAAAAGTATGAAGAATTTCGAGAGGCATGGGGGGTCTATGCCCGTCGCTAGCAATACTCGCCACATCCAGCGCTGACTAAGTTGATCGCTGTTGATTTCTGTATGAAATATTTAAACTATTGGGAAAACTTAAATTGCTGAATTGTAAAATAAGATGTTTCTTTTGACTACGATAACCAATGAGTCAGAAGAACGTTTTTCGTATGGGCAGTCTCTATCGGCACTGCCGCATTGCCGGCTTGGTTCTGCCACAGTTCGAAAAAAAGATGCTGTTTTCTATCGGCACTGCCTATATATGTATATATATATATGTATGGATATATTTAT